CTCACCCACCACTGTGCCAGGAGGACATCACAACCTCACCCACCACTGTGCCGAGAGGACATCACAACCCCACCACTCTACCAGAAGGACATCACAACCCCACCCACCTCTGTGCCAGGAGAACATCACAACCTCACCCACCACTGTGCCGAGAGGACATCACAACCCCACCACTCTACCAGAAGGATATCACATCCCCACCCACCACTGTGCCAGGAGGACATCACAACCTCACCCACCACTGGCGGGAGGACATCACAACCCCACCACTGTGCCGAGAGGACATCACAACCCCACCCACCACTGTGCCGAGAGGACATCACAACCCACCCACCACTGGCGGGAGGACATCACAACCCACCCACCACTGTGCCGAGAGGACATCACAACCTCACCCACCACTGTGCCGAGAAGACATCACAACCCCACCCACCACTGGCGGGAGGACATCACAACCCACCCACCACTGGCGGGAGGACATCACAACCCACCCACCACTGTGCCGAGAGGACATCACAACCTCACCCACCACTGGCGGGAGGACATCACAACCCACCCACCACTGTGCCGAGAGGACATCACAACCCACCCACCACTGTGCCGGGAGGACATCACAACCCCACCCACCACTGTGCCGAGAGGACATCACAACCCCACCCACCACTGTGCCGAAAGGACATCACAACCTCACCCACCACTGTGCCGAGAGGACATCACAACCCCACCCACCACTGTGCCGAGAGGACATCACAACCCCACCCACCACTGTGCCGAGAGGACATCACAACCTCACCCACCACTGGCGGGAGGACATCACAACCCACCCACCACTGTGGCGGCAGGACATCACAACCTCACCCACTACTGGCGGGAGGACATCACAACCCACCCACCACTGTGCCGAGAGGACATCACAACCCACCCACCACTGTGCCGAGAGGACATCACAACCCACCCACCACTGTAGCGGGAGGACATCACAACCCCACCCACCACTGTGCCGAGAGGACATCACAACCCACCCACCACTGTGCCGAGAGGACATCACAACCCACCCACCATTGTGGCGGGAGGACATCACAACCCCACCACTGTGCCGGGAGGACATCACAACCCCACCTGTTATACTCAAATTCTGTCAGTTGAGATGTAACCAATCACAGGCAAGTAGGCCTCTGACGTCATGCCAGACAGAGGAGCATCAAGCATGCTCCCAGCAGCCTCAGTTATCCTCACAGACTCAGAGTAGAAGGACCTCGGCTAGGCAGATATATACCTTGCTATCTCAGTCAATAAATATATACAGAAGCGACTACTGAGTCTACATTCTACCCGAACAAGGCAAACGAATACTGGTAGCAGCAGTGGGATCCAGAAATTTTTTTCTGGAAGCAAAAGTTCCAGTACCCAGCATCGCCTCGTGTTCCAGCCAAAACCGCCGCCACCGCCACCGCCATAAGCCGCCATCCTGCCACCCACGCATCAAATATTGTGCCAGACCGGGGTCCTGCCATCAACCACTACTCCAGGCTAACGTTTTAGAAGTAAGGGTCAATATTTTCCTGTGAGAACGCTCACTCATCAGTGAGGAGGAAGGAAGCTTCCCGCGCCAGCCATTTTTGAACCTCGCGCCACCACGAGGGAACCACCTATTACATCCCACCGCTGCCACCAGTATTCGTTTGCCTTGTTCGGGTAGAATGTAGACTCAGTAGTCGCTTCTGTATATATTTATTGACTGAGATAGCAAGGTATATATCTGCCTAGCCGAGGTCCTTCTACTCTGAGTCTGTGAGGATAACTGAGGCTGCTGGGAGCATGCTTGATGCTCCTCTGTCTGGCATGACGTCAGAGGCCTACTTGCCTGTGATTGGTTACATCTCAACTGACAGAATTTGAGTATAACACACCCACCACTGTGGCGGGAGGACATCACAACCCCACCACTGTGCCGGGAGGACATCACAACCTCACCCACCACTGTGCCGAGAGGACATCACAACCCCACCACTGTGCCGAGAGGACATCACAACCCCACCACTGTGACGAGAGGACATCACAACCCCACCACTGCCGGGGGAACATCACAACCCACCCACCACTGTGCCGGGAGGACATCACAACCTCAACGACATGGAAGAAAATGTAGAATAGAACCAATGAAGAGCAGAGGTGTCATAGGCACAATCAGAGAACACTGTATAAACATCAGAGGTCCGCGGTTGTTCAACGTCCTCCCAGCAAGCATAAGAAATATTGCCGGAACAACCGTGGACATTTTCAAGAGGAAACTAGATTTATTCCTCCAAGGAGTGCCGGACCAACCGGGCTGTGGTGGGTATGTGGGCCTGCGGGCCGCTCCAAGCAACAGCCTGGTGGACCAAACTCTCACAAGTCGAGCCTGGCCTCGGGCCGGGCTTGGGGAGTAGAAGAACTCCCAGAACCCCATCAACCAGGTATCAACCAGGTATCACCCACCACTGTGCCGAGAGGACATCACAACCTCACCCACCACTGTGCCGGGAGGACATCACAACCTCACCCACCACTGTGCCGAGAGGACATCACAACCCCACCCACCACTGTGCCGAGAGGACATCACAACCCCACCCACCACTGTGCCGAGAGGACATCACAACCCACCCACCACTGTGCCGAGAGGACATCACAACCCACCCACCACTGTGCCGAGAGGACATCACAACCCCACCACTGCCGGGGGAACATCACAACCTCACCCACCACTGTGCCGAGAGGACATCACAACCCCACCACTGTGACGAGAGGACATCACAACCCCACCACTGTGCCGAGAGGACATCACAACCTCACCCACCACTGTGACGAGAGGACATCACAACCCCACCACTGTGCCGAGAGGACATCACAACCCCACCACTGCTAGCCTCACGTGAACACTTGTATTCGATATAAACCTCGAGAGGTGCTGTTTATGGTATACTTTTTTCAATTCTTAACTCGGGGTTAAAAGTTTACCAGTCAGAAATATGTAAACTGCGGCTATGACCAAGTTCCTCGCAGTCCTTACCTTGAGGTTACCTTGAGGTGCTTCCGGGGCTTAGCGTCCCCGCGGCCCGGTCGTCGACCAGGCCTCCTGGTTGCTGGACTGGTCAACCAGGCTGTTGGTCGCTGCTGCTCTCAGCCTGGTTGATCAGGTATCCTTTGGAGGTACCAGTCAACGTGAGCCTTGAACCCAACACAATTGTGCCCTCTACTTGAACTTTTGAAAGGTCGAACATTGACTAGGAGAGAGCAGGACGTATTCACCTTCCAGATACTGAGGCCGGGGAAAACGAAAGAGAATCGGGTGCTATTTGTATCTATTTTGTATATATAAATATTCTCCAGATGTGTCGAGAGGTAATTAAGCAGGTCAAGTAACTACAGTATACAATGCAAGGTAATTATCAGAACCCGCTAATCCTACGGTGCCTACCCTCTTGGTCCACCGGAAATCGAACCTTGCAATAAGCCACCTAGCTAGCCTAACACAGGCTAGTTCAAGTGGATGGGAAGACCATAGTAATTCAGTGAGGCTATATCTTGAGGTTATCTTGAGATGATTTCGAGGCTTAGTGTCCCCGCGGCCCGGTCCTCGACCAGGCCTCCACCCTCAGGAAGCAGCCCGTGACAGCTGACTCCCAGGTACCTATTTTCTGCTAGGTAACAGGGGCATCAGAATGAAAGAAACTCTACCCATTGTTTCTCGCCGGCGTCCGGGATCGAACCCGGCACCTCAGAATCACGCGTCCAGTGTTCTGTCCACTCAGCTACCGGGAGCCGGTGACTCCTAGGAGAGCTAGGTCTAATTATTTTTGCCGGAGGGGGTTTAACGACGGCAAATGAAAGTATCATGTATAAATTGTTGAGTTATATCATACTCTAGGAAAACCTTGAAAAGTGTCGAGTGATGCATCTCGTCAACAGTTTCTGTAAATCACAGTTCTGCGAATGTAGAATGTCAATTACTGAGGAACACCCCTGGATGGCGTCTCAGTCATGTCTAACGCAAGACGTTCCCTGAATCTCAAATGACGCTATTTTCGCCGAAAGATATGTTGCCCGGTCGCTCAGAGCGTCACCACATGTTGACACATATTGGTGAAATTATCTTCGTATACCGCTTTCAACAGATGCTCATGTTCACACATAGAGTCATCTAAACCCGTGTCTGTCACTTACACATTAAACTTGCACCAGATAACATAGACTTAATAAAACGCTTACGTCAGTAACAACGGGTTGGGAGGCCAAATCTAATTATAACAATCACCCACAGAATTATACAGAGAAAGTTTCTTCGGGTATTCTTAGCTGAACTTATTATTAATATTATTATTAGCGAACTTAAGAATATAAGTGACAAACACCCAATTGGACGTTTGCTTATTTTTCCTCCTAGTGTGCTCCGGGGTATGGTATAGTGTGCTCCGGGGTATGGTATAGTGTGCTCCGGGGTATGGTATAGTGTGCTCCGGGGTATGGTATAGTGTGCTCCGGGGTATGGTATAAGGAATTATCACTCAAGGACTGTACACTGTACAGTCGTATATTAAATGAAACATTATTGGTGGCTTTGAAAACATGCATCAGAATTCCAAATGTCATATAATGCTCTCCATTGAGTTTTCTTGTGCCTGTGGGCACCTGGGCCGCCCAATATAAAGCCCAAAGGTAACTCACTCTCTCTCTCAGAGGTCACCGGCGACCTCCGGCGACCTGTTAGTCACCTTTGGGGCTTGGCTTATTAGTCCTGTGGTCGACAAAAGGTCAGCACACGCACGCACACACACGAGTTTAAAACTATTTAGCACTGCTAATAGTTTTTATTCTGGAGTTTCACCTGTGGCTGCAAATGTTAACCTCTCTCTCTCTTGCCGGCACTCTTAACACCCCTTCTCCCACCCCTCCCCCCTTCCACAAAAACACAAGGGTTCAGGAGCCTAAATGGGAACTACGAGGATTCAAATTGGACTTACCGGCGCCGGAAAGAGCAAGCAGAGTGATACAAGTGGCGAAAACCTTCATTTTGAGTTATCGTAAGGCCAAACAAAGAGCAGGTCGAAGAGCGTGCACCCACCGTGAGAGACAGACGACTACTGAGCTACTCGCCGACAACGAGCCGGCAGTGGCGTACAGACGGGGGACGGGGACTCGTCCGGTCTCTTGGGGGATGGAGGGTACATTAGTGGTGTTGGGGACGGGAGAGGGGGTGTCAGGTCACCCAATGGCGAGGAGCGGGTGGACAAGGGAGGGGGTACTTTGGCTTCCATGATAGGACGGAGAGTATACTCGATCGTGGTTTTGGGGGATGGAAGATGCGTGTCAGGTCACCCATTGCGAAGAAGGGGACTGGTCTCCATTAGGTATGGGTCCCCTGAATGACCCTAGAAATTCGAACAGCAAAGCATATTTATATATGATTCTCAGCATTCACCTATATAACATCCACATATATATTGAAATTACATGTGAAGAACCTTTCAAACACCCGCCAGTTTCCTGAGAAAAGAGAGCAAGCTTAGCTAAACTAAGCTCGCTCTCTAAGCCAAACTCACACACACACACACATAATATCAGCAAAGCGAACAGCTCGCCTGCTATCATAACTCACAACCCCATATTTCTACAACCTTTCCTTCGCCTGTAACTCTCTGTTGTCTTTATTCCCATAAAAAAAGAGGGTTGAGCTATGAGTTTTTGAATCTCATAGAGCGATAGAGAACAGGGTTCTTGGGTCTCGTAGACCTTACCTTGCGATGATTCCGGGGGTCAACGTCCCCGCGGTTAGAGGGCTAAGATTTGCAATAATGGAATCGGGGTTTTTGGGTTTCCTGGAGGATGTGGGCGGAGTTTGTGGGTTTCCTGGAGGATGTGGGTGGAGTTTGTGGGTTTCCTAGAGGTTGTAGGCAGAGTTTCTGTTGTTCCTAGAGGTTGTAGGCAGAGTTTCTGTTGTTCCTAGAGGTTGTAGGCAGAGTTTCTGTTGTTCCTAGAGGTTGTAGGCAGAGTTTCTGTTGTTCCTAGAGGTTGTAGGCAGTTTCTGTTGTTCCTAGAGGTTGTAGGCAGTTTCTGTTGTTCCTAGAGGTTGTAGGCAGAGTTTCTGTTGTTTCTAGAGGTTGTAGGCAGAGTTTCTGTTGTTCCTGGAGGTTGTGGGCGTAGTTTCTGGGTTTCCTAGAGGATATGGGCGGAGTCTCCAAGAATCCTGAGGGGGTTTAGGTAGAGTTTATGTTTCCAGGAGTGTGTAAGGTGGAGTTTTGGGTTTCTGGGACACCTGAAGAGTTGGGTCGAGGATTCTTGTTCTCCTTGAGGGTTGTAATTGGGTTCTTGGGGCGTGGTTTTCGGGAACCCTGCTGGGAGATGGCAACAGTATTACTGGGTCTCCTGAGGTGATCGTGTACCGTAGAGGTTTCCTGGGGGTGCTCGTGTACCGTAGAGGTTTCCCGAGGTGCTCGTGTACCGTAGGGTACCAAGGGTTCCTGGTGTACCGTAGAGACCTCCTGGGAATGGAAGCTATGGTTGATACGATGGCAACCACCCCGTGATAACCTAACACCCCCCCCCCCCAGAGGTGCCATTCAACATTGCTATATTCCACCGGCAGTGTGGAGAGACTATTGTCAAATCGAGAGCAAAACGGTTCGACAAAGCTCGTTAGGTTAGGGTGTACTAGCTTGGGTTAGGCTGTGCTAAGTTAGGTTGGGTAAGGTTAGGTAGGCTTTAAAACCTGTCTTGTGTACAATGTGATTTGTATCCGTGGGAAGAGTTTTAATTACTTTTGGGGGGAATTTAAATGGAGTTCGTTCCATATTAATTCTTTACGTTTAAACTTGAATCCCTTAGCTCACGCAATCTCCATCTCTTTCTACCTCTCTAAACTTATTTATATTTACTGTTTAACATATGTACATATAGACACGCACACCAGGGAAAGAGGAGAGAATAGGAAACTATGTACATCGCGTGGCCTGGGGCGGCGCCTCGCCGGTCAGCCATATTGGATGACGTCAGTTTCTGGATGTATCCGGTTACCACACTGGGAAAACAAATTATATTCCAGAGTACACGCTAAGTTGCACCTTGTTATTTCATTCAGCACTGCAAGGACAATTATAAGACTTTCTCAGAGTAAATGAAGTTGCATTTACTATTAAATCAGTACTATATGTTGATAATAATACAAATTAATCTACATGTTAAATTTTCTTTTATAGAGAGCGTGGGAATACAGCACTAGCCTATTCAAGTAGATTGGGTAGATGCATAATGTTCTCTACCCAAGGTTATACATAAAATCAAATTGCTGGACAAGGAGGTTTTATTTATTTATTTATTTATTTATTTATTTATTTATTTATTTATTTATTTATATACAGGAAGGTACATTGGGTTAGAGAGAATACATAGCATAGTATTTACAATCTTGTAAAGCCACTAGTACGCGCAGCGTTTCGGGCAGAATATATCATAACAATATCAACCTATGCTGTTTGTAATGCATAATATTATGCATTAAATGCAGCTTAACTTGCAATGAAACAGCCTTATTGTCGATTTTGCAGTGATAAAGGAAACGCCAGTTAAGAAACATTTATTATTTTGTCTTAAAATATTCTGTAGCTCTTGTTATGGTGGCCAGAGCGAGGAATGTGGGATACATATGCGAGAAACAATGACGGTAGAAGCAACACGGAAATGTATGCAAGATCACTGATGTATAAAATGCATACTAAGGGGTAGAAATGATGTTGCCGTGAGCCGTTTAATCTACCCGTTAACAGTGATTTGTCCCATCCGGGAATGTACCCTCAACTGTGTACCCGAGTCCCTCAACTGTGAGGAATATCTCTCACCTCTGCGTCTGAGGACGTGGTCATCTAATTATGACGTCTAGAACTTACCCGTAATATAAGTCTAAGAGGTACCAACTCACTCATTACCAACGGACCCCTCGCTAACTTAGATTCCCTACAGGTAAGGCACCAGGTGGATTGGGTCAGGTCAGATCCTGGGTCAAGGGGGTGGGTGGGGGTTAGGGGTAACTTTGGACGTGACCTTTTCCCCCTAATGTGTGTGTGTTAGGATGGTAAGTTCATAGCTGGCTGTAGCCAACCATGGTGGTAGAGACCAGTCATATAAAGCATTGTCACCCCTTGTTGACACTGGTGTCACCCCTTACTGACACCACCTATTGACCACTGTTGTCACCACCTGTTGACACCACTGGTGTGCATACACCAGTGGTGTGTACTGGTGTATGCACACCAAGAGCGGCTCTGCCCTCATCTGGTCTGCAGAATTATGTTCCCGGGTAAGTCCTGTAGCGCAGTGGTCAGCGCAGGTTACAACTTGGATATGTCCCTAATTCCAGTTCCACTGCAGGGCAGAGACGTTTGGGCACAGTTTCTTTTCATGTTACCCAGGAGTTAGTCAACTGTTGTGAGTTGTATCCTGGGGAAGGTCATGAGTAGTTGAACTCTGGGGATCCTGAAAACAGCCAACAGGCGTCGTGTTCCCGAGTATGGGACCATAAGGGGCGGTATATGGGAAGGTAACGATCTAATTGGAACAGTGTTAAGGGGTGAGCGGTATATATGGGCTGCCAGCTGGCATTGTTGACACATCCGGCTTATGGTTTGTAGCTGTTTGTTGCATTGTATGGACACTTTGACACGCTGTGCCACACGCTGTGTCACACGCTGTGCCACACGCTGTCACACGCTGTGTCACACGCTGTGCCACACGCTGTGTCACACGCTGTGCCACGCGCTGTGTCACACGCTGTGCCACACCCTGTGTCACACACTGTGTCACACGCTGTGCCACACGCTGTGTCACACGCTGTGCCACACGCTGTGTCACACGCTGCGTCACACGCTGTGCCGTGTGATTGTAATGAGAACTTTGACGCTAGTATCCCTGCCGGCCAGCTCCTCTATACGAGTCCTTCCCTGATCCTTAACAACATCCTTGAGTGCTTGCCTGATCCTTGAGTGCTCCTTCCTGCCGCGCGAGTCATGGTCGCGGGGTCCTTCACATGAGGCTGTCAAAATACAATAGAACATGAAACGCTGGATATATATTTTATAAGTTTAGATTCAGGAAAGACATGGATAAAAATACTGGTTTGAAGGGTTGTTGATTTTTTTTTAAACAAATTTCCGCGGTAACATAATAGACTTGGGATCCCTTGATTGTTTCAAGCGTAGGTTAGACATGTATATTAATGGGTTTGCTTGGGTTTTAAATAGTATAGGTCAATAAATCTTTCGCAGTATACCTTTATTTTCCCGAAACGCTATGCACGTTAGCCATTTTGCAAGACTGTGCCACTTGCAAAGGTCTGACTTTAAAAGGTCAAACGTAATACATACAAGGGGCAACAGCTTCAAACGCTCCTCAATAATGTAAGATAGTAAACAGACGATGCTTTTTTGTTTCACTAGTATAGTGTTATAAGCTCATGGAACCAAATCTATAAACGCCAAGATATTACTGAAGTTTAATAATCCAGACCGGAAAAAAATCCTCAGGAACAATGGAGAATCTTTGACAGCCGCCGGTTCCCAGTCCCCGTCGAGGCCACTAGAGAGATGATAAGGCCCAAAGGTAAGTAACTCATGCCCGCCCAAAGGTAAGTAACTCATGCCCGCCCAAAGATAAGTAACTCATGCCCGCCCAAAGGTAAGTAACTCATGCCCGCCCAAAGGTAAGTAACTCATGCCCGCCCAAAGGTAAGTAACTCATGCCCGCCCAAAGGTAAGTAACTCATGCCCGCCCAAAGGTAAGTAACTCATGCCCGCCCAAAGTAACTAAGAGCTGTTCTGTGTGCTCTTTTGTTTCTATCGTCGTCATTTGGACTTCTAAGCCTTCACCTCTGCACTCTTGAGTCTTTTCTCTTCACACTGCTGCTAATCACCTCTTGGAACGGCTCTTCCACATTTGACTCTACAGCTGGATAATTTCATGTTCATCTCTACACTTTTTCCTGGGGATTATATAGGCCTATACAAGAAAAAAAAGATTCAGTAGATTTGAACTAGAGCATAATTGTCTAAAAAATCCAGGAAACTGAGCTACCTAACAATATTTTTCACAGTAGACCTACCAAGCATAGTTTTCAAGGGGATTAGG